CCTGATGCATGCATTTGTCCCCTGGGACGCTGCCTTCCCCTTTCCCCCAGGCGCCCCGAGCCATGGCGGTGCGGCCGCTTACCGTCCTTTTTCTTGTCTGAATCCTGTCCGCTGTATGAGTCGCGAATACCGTCGCGTTTCGTCGTCCTTTCTTCTCCTTTGTAGCTCGGATGTGGTGGAGCAGAGGATTGCTTGTTCGGGCGGCAGGCGTAGTCCCTCAGCCAGCTGGAAGATGCCAGAATGTAAAAGGATTGTGGTTTTCAGGGTGTGTTTTGTGGACCTGTAGGTAGTGGATCTGTCCCTGGATTCGGAACAGCACAATTCCTGAGGCAGCCATATTGGGATGATGATCTGACAATCCTCTGTGAGCCAAGTCAGGAGGCAGGCGTCGGGAGACAGGCTGACAGGCCTCCTACTTTTGGGGTCATTGGCAGAATATGGGTATGGAATGGAGGCTGGGGAACTAGAATTGACCAGAAGAGAACGGTGAATTTGTATCTGTTCTCTGAAAAGTAAAATATGATCATACTGAATTTTAAGGTACATTTCACTTTCAGCTTCTTTTTAGCTCAGTTCCTTTTGCTGTTGCACAATCCGGTACGTTGGTGTGTTGATAAATAGCTACATGTTTATACGATTGGATTTTCAGTGCGGTGCCAAGTTCTGCACCACTGTTTTATCTGGCATCTTCCCCCAGTACAAAGATAGCAATCCGCAGCGTGTGAGTTCAGCTGACATATCAGACTGTCATCACTACCTGATCCTTACTGGAGGCCCTAAAATAGGATTCACTCTGGACCTCTTGTTCATACACCCCTGCTGTTCTGAACAGCTGTTTTGCTAACTTTCCATATACTCATCTCTCTCCTAGTTAATTTTCTTTCTTTAGAGCTCTTGTACTGCTTAAGTTACAAGCAATTTTTTTGTTTGAAAGCGAGCACATTCTCTGGTACACATACCTATACAAGTATGCCACAAATGGCTGGCTATTAAATAAAAGTGATGTTTCTTTGTTTGTGATGTGTGGTGGGATATTGTTCTTTTTTTATTTGAATATAGAGATACAGATTCTGAACATTGTTTTTGTAACCACTTTGAACTCGTTGCAAACTTTTCTGAGAATATAAATAATAATTTGACTCTAAATCCTTGTTCTGCTTGTAACTTCGTTTCAAAAAACAGCAACATGTCCTGTATTTTGACAATGGATAAAAAACTGGTTTGCCAGAACTTGCAAATACATCCAAGGATCCAAGTCTTAATGAACACCCTGTTTCTTTAAACATCTGTGAAAGTCCAAATCTAGTTACAAGTGCTTTGAGACCATGAACAGTGGTTGACCAACATCATTGGGTTTGTCAGCTTGAAAGACAGAAAGCAAACAAGTTATTTGGGCAATTTGTTTAATGACACACTTTAATATTAAAACCTCACTGTATGACTTACAAGGTGGATAGTGGGTCTTTTTTAATAATAACTAAAAATAAGTTCAAAATGAATATGTAGGATTTACTTTCTGCTGATGGAGCTCACTGAACAAGTCATATATTACCTACCAACTGTTCTAGAGCCAGTGGTATATCATGTCAAAGACTCGAGCATGTAGTTCCCTTGTTTACTTGGTTTCTGATTGGATTCCTATAGATTGAACATTTGAAGATACACAATTAGTAGACTCTTTCCAAGACATGAGGAGAATCATCCATTTGAGCATGGAAAAGCTGTGTCTTAAAAAGATTGTTCTTCTGAATCTGTACCACAGGCTGTATTGCACATTTTGGTTTACTCTATTGTAAGTTACCACTCTGTAGACACTGTTTTGTAGTAATAAGTGTTATTACTGGAAAATGTGAACCCTGAAAAACCAGTTGCAATTTGTTATCTGTGGTGCCATGCAGCTTGGTCTCATTTTGCCTTATTTTATCATTCAGTATGGTGAGGCCAATACTGTCTTTATAAAATGTTATAACCAGTTAAAATTGCTGATAAAGTGGAAAACCCCCTCAAAACCTCAACAACTTAAATTTATGAGAAGTTTGGAAAACTGTATCAGTTTTGGGTAATTTTATTAATGAAAATTAAATCTTGCATAATGAGATAATGTCCAAAACATCTGACATTCATGTGCATCTACAAGTAGACATTTTGCTTATTCAGCTATGAAAAATAGCAGAGTTGAGAATGAATAAGATATAAAATTACACCACATTTAACTTTCTATGAGTGCAAAAGTTAGGGTTGGGGGAAGTTGTAGTAGCAGAAGTCTAATGCTGTTGTAGGTGATTTTGTGACCTGTTCTGTAAGAATTTCTTCACAGCTGTGTTTCAAACAAGGCTTTCATTTAGCTAGTGCATATGGAGTGTCTTTTGGTGTGCTTCCCATGCTTTCTTCTTGTGAATATGGTGTACTGAGGTACTCAAGAATTATGTTTTTAGCAGATGATTCTTTCACATCTTCTGTTTGCTGGATTCCTAAATATACTGGTTATCTGCAGAAATTTATGTAGTATTCTGAGAGCTATTTCTATGAAGGCATCAGAAAAAATATCTTTGCATGTGGGACTCTTTAGTAAGAAGGGAAGATAAGCTCCCTGTGTTTCATAAAGAACTATATGAGAACATATTGGTTGTATTTTTATTTTCTTGGGGGAAGAAAGATCCCCATCATCAATGGCCTTACCTTTATTTGTTGGTCCTTGTGGGAAGTTGACACAACTGTGGTTTCACATTAATGTGAATAGATGGGAAAAAGAAAGAACCACTAAGCCACTGTCAGGTGGAGTTTCTGTCATGTGCTACACCCTATGAAAATACCACCTACTCATAGTCTTGCACAATCTGACAAAGTAAACAGTGTCACTATGAACTTGATAATAACAGAGTTTGCACTTGATAGATTTTTTCAGTTGTATTTCAGAAACAGAAAGCTTAGTGGCCCTGTACAGCAGCATTCCTGTTTTCTTGCAGCAACATTCAGGGTCAGTTGAATAATACTACTGGGATGTATCAGGATTAGTCTTGTCACTTAGCTTTCATGTAGGGGCAGAGGTGCTTATGCAGGGGTCACATTAAGAAGGGAGAGCAAAAATTCCACACAGTACATACTTGTGAACAAGGCTTATAATGAAGCTGTATGTTTGATACACTTTGTTATACAAAAAAGTAGGCACCTCTGAGCAAGAGTGAGTAAAGCAGCCCACCAACAACCCAGAATCTCTCTTAAACTTTGAACATCATGTGAATTCATTCCCATTACTTCTTTGCTCTATTCCATGTATAAGTTTCTAGTGAAACTGCTTAAAATTCTGTACTTGCCTAAAGCTGACTTTGTGGCTGTCTCATGAATCATTATTCTAGCAGTTTGCAGTACCACTGACATTGAAATTCAGTTGGCTTGTTCCTAAAGACATTCCTATTCTAGTCTGGTGAGATACCTCAGGTACCTGCTAAAATAAGGACCACATTAAATTACTTCTACTTGGTGGAGTAATTTAATTTCTGCCTTCACCATGTGATGACATTAATGAAGTAATGCAGTTTTATTAAAAACTTCTTGTTCTGTGTGAAGATGTGTCATAACTTGAATTAAGCATGTATAAATGTTGTTACCAGCTGCAGAACTTACATTACAGCTGAAATGCTTCTGCTTTACATCTGCTAGTAAGATTTGTGCTTTTGTGGCACTGTGATTACAACCCCAAAACAAGCATTTCCGTAGATATGTGGTGTGTAGGTAACCAGAAAATAAGATGTCAAGATTTGGGGGCCATGCAGGGTGACTTGTGCAGGGCAGAGTTCTGCCCATGTTAGCTCGGATTCAGGAGAGAAATGACTGTGAGTTAGAAGCAAAGATTCACCTGGCCCCAAGTCCTGTCTTCAGCAGTGGCCACAGCAGGTATTTAGAATATAAGAGTAAATCAATCATGTAATCATGTTTTCTCAGTAAAGTCTTCCAGGTTCTGGGAGTCTGTGCCATGGATGTGTTCCTGGCCAAAGGTGGTAATGCTTTGCTAGACCTCGATGGCTTTTTCTTTGAATCTGTCTTACTGCTTTTTGAGTCTGCTTAACTTCAGTACCAACAGTATCATGTGGAAATAAGTTAAACTTATTTAACTTAAACTAATTGTAGACTGACTCAAAAACTTGCTTCTAATGGAACAGGTTAGTTGAGGACAACACAATTGAACCAATCTTTATTAACTCTACATTTCAATACTGTCTCAGACATGCCCTGAAGTTTTTGTTGTGTGTATTGGGGATAGTTTCCTGCCAACTGAAGTGCTTCATCATTTGGATGCAGGAGGATTTGAATAAGTATTTTGATGATGAAGATGAATTTATTGGTGAACATTTGCTGAAGATGAATAGTAACATCTACCCTCAAGGCAATAATTTTTGATTCCTCTTCTTGCTTAGAGAGTAGCGTGCCCTTTAATCAGTGGATATACAAGTAGTTGATGAGTTTTACTTCCTTTGAGAAGAGGACTTTCCCAGGACTGTACAGGGTTCTTCAAGGTTGTTGGGTGTACCCTTTTCTCTGGAATGCTATGTATTGCAAGTCAGTGTGGTATGGCCCAAAACAGTTGTGTTAGTTTAATATTATTGCTAATGCATTGTGGCAGCAAGGGTTGACAGCTAGAGAACTTAGATCTGTACTATATGGTAGCTAGCTCATGCTGAAATCTAAGTAGCTGTATCTTTGCTGCTAAAATTATCTGTGTTAGGTTAAGCCTAACACATGTTGCAACCAGATCTTCATTTTGGTATTGGCATCCCTGCTTTCTGGGAAGAAAACCAAGTAATGAAAACAAATATGTTTGTACACTTCAAAAAACTGCTTCATTTGATAGAGACTTTTGGCTGGGGAAACATGGCACAGGGGCTGTATGCTGCAGAGCAGAAATTGCAGTTACCAAACAACTTTGAACCTCACTGATTTTATCAGCATCAAGTAACTAAATTCTATTTTTCCTTTTAGAAAACACCAACAAGAAGGATAACTTGAAACACTCCTGACCCCTTTGCTTTCGATTTCTTGACTGCACTACAAGCAACCAGAATGTCGGGGGCTTCAGTGAAGGTGGCTGTTCGGGTCCGGCCCTTCAATTCCCGAGAAACCAGCAAAGAGTCCAAATGTATCATCCAGATGCAAGGCAATTCAACCAGTAAGTTTGTGTTAATCTCATAAGGGAGTCTTTCTCTCTTCTTTCCCTTCCTGCATAATCTTCCTGTTTTTGTCAGACTACCCCAAGGATTTTGTATCATCTGGAATTACTCTTTTGTGGTATCTTTTCTTCCGAGGCTGTCATTACAAACTAAATTGTCTCTGGATTTGACTGGAAAGTCTAAATCATGAGTGTCTTAATTTTGATGCAGTAGTTTAAGGTGTTTGCTTGTGGTGAGTTGAGAATTCTACAGAAAGATTAGAATACCCAAGTGAAAATCTTGTTAACTTCCATGTGTGGAGTATCATGTGGACTGACAGATAGAGGGGATACATTACAGAACACCACATGATAATCATTGAAGGATAACTCCTCGTTGAGGTTGGTGCTTTAGTTCTTGGTGTGCTTATTCTGCAGTCAGTGCCTTTGTTTAGGAGCATGATTTGAGGGAGAAAGCTGAGGAGAAAAAGGATGTCAAGTTTCATGCTTTCCGGATTAGATCTCTAAACAAAGTAACAGACTGCATAAAATCATGAGGAAGTGTTAAGCTTCTTGCATAATTACTGTGGGTCTAATTTGGAGGAGAAGACTATTCTATAGGAGACCAAATATGGCACACCATTTATTGATTGGTTTTAATTAATTTATTTTACATGCTTCTTAAGGTCTAGACAGTATTGATACTATTTGTCTCAGCATTGTTGATGACATGTAGCCTGATAGCTGTACTTATAAGTTGCTCTTCTTATGGTAGTTTTGCATTGTTAGGTAATCAAATAGAGTCATCTTGTCTGTAGCTGTAGGAAGTAACACTCCAAGAGCACTGAGGTACTTTGCTGTCTGAGTACTTGAGCACTTACTCATGCCTGTTAATACAAAGGAGGTTTCATACAGGCTCCTCCCTTTTTTTGGCTGAGGTTGCACTTCAGCCTGCTTCTGCAGGCTGGAATTTTAAGTCCTGGTTGAGGAAGCTTTAATCATATACAATGTTCATGGTTTCATTGGAAGAGAGGCATTGTACAGAAGAGAGTGCATTAAGTTCTTATCTTCAGACCTTGTATGGAACATTACCCAAACAAACAGGGTTTTTTTGGCCATTTGATTTCAAAATTTCCATTTTAAAATGGGGGAGAGGAGGGACAGGGAATGTTTAGAAGTCATCTCATGTAGAAACAGGTGCTTGCATCCCAGCATTGCCTGCCAACTTCCAGATCAAATCAGTGTAGAATGGAAGACTCCAGTAGATGGCATTTGTTATGGAAATGCCACCAAGCTCTGAACTACAGCAGCACTGCTGGGTGCCACTGTAATAGGTTTTCTTGCTGCTGTCATGACATGACAGCAATCATTTCAGACACTAAGATTTTTGAACTCCAGGAGCCTGTGGAAAAAAGCTTGTTTGTGGTACAACGACAGGGGTGACCAGTGAATCCCTGACAATCTGTCTAAGTTGAAATGTGGTGTAGACAAAAGGCACTGGTTCTGTTTCTGAATGCTAGAGCTGCACTACAAAGACATGTTTTCAGGAAACTGCATCAGCTTTCAGAAGGAGAAAAATGCTTCCTGATGTATCTAGTTGGAGATTCCTTTACAGCTTTTGCTATATTTTGTGCTCTGGAAATGTTCTAATCTGTAGCCTTCTATTTGAGTCCTATGGCTCTGATACAAGATGGGTGATATGACAGATGGTGAGGTTTAAGTCATCAGGGGCCATTACAGACTATGGAAAAGGAATCATTGGTTGCAATAGTTTTATGTTCTTAAAATCTGGGCTATTTTTTCCCTGTATTTCCCTCTCAGAGGAGAATGCAGAAGAAAGTAATAGACAGAGGAGTTATTTTATTCATTGAGCAGAAGAGATTCATATAATAAAAGATAAGAAGAAGGTGTTGTTTGGTGGGGAGAAAACCTGAGCAGAAATCTTTTCTCCAGAGACTTTTCCTAATGAAGTTGTCTGACACACACAGCTTCAAGCTGAACTTCTGGCCTGCTTTTAGGCTACATGTTAGATTTGACGGCATAAGTACCGTTGCTGTTTCTGCCAAGGATTCTTCCGTTTTCATGATCCCCCGGTCTTTGCAGCCTTAAAATTACATTATTGAACTCCTTATTATTGAGGTTGGAAATTACTGGCCAAAAGCTGACTACAGAAAGTGACATTAATGTATCTGACTCTTGGATCTGATGCAGCAACTTAAAAATAAAGGGAATTCAGCAGTAATTTTAGCCTATGGAGTTCCAGCTTCATAACTCCAAATGTGCTGGTGAACTGATCAAGGCTTAGGTATCTTGCCTCTGAGAAGGTTATTTTTGCATTTGTGCACTAATCAAGTTGACAGGAGGCAAATCTGAGAGGCTGGTGATATGTTGGGTAGTGACTATTTTAGGCCTCTGAGACAGTTAAAGCCTGATGGACTATTGTGATGATCAGGATTGATGAAACAGTGTAAAGTCTGATAACTAAGAAGGGAATTTGATTGTTACTTATATTTTAATTCTTTGTGTTGAGTGGCCAAGCTGTTCTACGAAACCTTTGTGGGTCCTGAGTATAAACGTTGTACAGGTTTTGTAGATGTATTGGCTGATAGGGCAGAGATTACATTACATTGAAGCTGAGGCAGAGTGTTCAAGATTACTTTAAGGAAAATGATAATAAAGTGTATCACTATTTTAGTGAATGTATGAGAAAAGGAGTGGTTTTTGACATGCATAATGAAGTATATTCTTGAAGTCAGATGCCACCAGGGTTGTTGCCTAACCACGCTGCTTTTGTTTGTCAGGTTTTGTGTGCATTTGGCTGTTTACAGCTTTTGGGATTGCCTGTCATTCATGGTGGGCTTGCCAGCAAAACAAAGCATCCTCCTGATGTTAGAAAGCTTATTCTCAATTTTGTTACACAGTTTAACTTTGCCTTAGAAGCAAATCAAATGTAATTCTGTTGTGGGCTGAGGTCTGCGGAATTAAATTGTCGTCATAGCTGGCTTTTATGTCATTTCCTTGTGGAGATCAAGGCCTTTAATCAAGATCCATAGTAGATCTCCATCTTTATGGTTTGTCAGTGTTAAAGAATTATAATGTAGCTGAATACAGTTCTATATATGTCAATATCAGAAAAAGAGAGCTCTTACACAGGTCTTTAACCCACAATGTTAAAGCACTCACTCTGTGCAACTGGGACTACTGTTTTTCTATTGGATGCAAAATATGGGAATTTTGACATTGGTACTGGAAACATTGTCTTTTTCTTTTCCCCCTGTCTTCTACACTGAGATGACAAGACTTCCCCCCCCCCCTTATGGTTGCAGAGGTATCGATCTGCAGTAATACAGTATCTTGCACTTAAAGAATTGTCAGGCTTTGTTTTTGAAGTCCATGTTTCAAACCCAGAATTCTGCAGTCCAGCTGAAGTCACATGTGATGACTGCATCGAGTGGCTGGTATTTTGGCAGAAGGCCTGTGCTGCTCAGCTCGTATCTAATTGCAGATGGTATCCATTTGAAGTTCTGCAGTGGAAGGGGAGAAGTGGGGGAGGAGAATAGAAGGTAATAGAGGAATTCTTAAAGACAGAAGTTGGAAGCTGCAAAATCCTACCGCTTAAGTTAATTTGGGAATGCAAAATGACTTCCAAAGATGGGTAGTGTCACTATCAAATTACTAATTAAAAACCCTACCAAACCAGTAACTGAGTGGGATTAACTTAAGAAAAGACCATTACTTTTATTATTATCACTTAGATATGATCTTAAGAAACATAAGGTTTGTTTGCACCTGCTGTGGAAGTGGATTCAGTTGACTGAAATGCCTTGTTTTCCTTTGGAGTTGTGCTCTGAAGAGCAGAGCTATATTGTTGTTGTGCAGAGGTCACCAGCAGACATGGGCATACATCTGTAAGTCTTATGTGCATGTACTCAGGGCTAGGTACAGTGTAGCTGTGTTGTAGCATTACCCCTAGTGCAGTCAGCCATGCTAGGATGAGAGGAGAAGTTGGTGAGCTCTGAGGACTTATATATCGTCATGATAATGAATTCCCTAGGGTGATCCTTCTGTTAGCAGTCCTTACTGTTAGCAAGCTTAACACTTCAATATATATATTTTGTTAATTACAGAGTGCTTTCAAGTGAAACTTGGTGTCATTGGGCTTTTAAGTTGCTTTTTGTGATGGTGGTTTATTGATAAAATCCCACCTAATACTAAAACGGCCTGAAACGTCTGAAATAATCCTGAGTTCCTCTGAGATAACTTTGGTTTTGTTAGTCTTTAAATGTATCATCTTTAATATTTTCTTTGAATTACTAGATAGGTGGTTTATTGTCTTCTAGGTCAAACTCGCAAGCAGCTTTTTGAAATGAATGATTCAAGAATGGATCAAGGTTGTCAGCATATCTTGACTGAATATGTTTTGTCTTTAACTCCTATTTTTTCTCTTTTATTTGGAATGATTTACACTAATGCATCTTACCCCCGATGTATTAATTTCTTATTGCCCGGCCACTACATTCATTCCTGTCTTTCTTGTGAGTGGGAAAAAGATTCTGCCATGTAATACACTGGATGAAAGGTGAGCTACAGATCTAAGAGTATTTTGTGTGTCAGTAGTTCGTGTCCTCATTCTTGTATCAGGTTTTGAAATATACAAATATTCAATATAAATATTGAAGAAATAAACAAAAATAAAAATAAGAAAAGAAATAAACAAAAATAAACAACATTGGAAGCTGCTGCCTTGGATTATTGAGATGAAAAGCTGAGCCTAAAGACTTCCCTCGGGTTGTGATTTTTCAGTGTGGGTGTTGTTTTTTTGGGGTTTTTTTCGAGTGTATTTTGTCTTTTTTTGGTGTGGAAGTGATTTGATAATCCTGTCTGTAAATAAATAACGCCCAAATAAACACAAATCAAACTGAAGCAGAGGCTAAAGCTAGTAGCTACAAGGCAGTATTTAGGTATTCATCACCAGCAAGGATTCCAGCTAGCATATTCTTTTAAAAAGCTGCATAGAAAAC